CCTGAAGAGAGGAAGAAAAAAGCAGCTTTAACATGGCAAATCTCCTTTCAGCAACTTGAAAGTGATTCTGTCAAGCACAACAATGTGGCTGCCTGGGGTAATCTGAGAAATGCATGCTGGTTCCCACACCATCATTGTGGAGCTCCCATATTTTGTTTTCTAGGTGTGTAGGGTCTTAAAGGATATCTGACAGCTCACATTCCTGTTGCATTGTGCCACAGCTGTTAGCTAGTGAGTGAGTCGGGTTCTCAAATGAAGAGTACTTTAAAAAGAATTAGGAAAGCCCTGGGCATCCCGGATCACCATTGAAGGTTTAGGCCTAGGGCTGAAATACTTGTGTTTTACATTCACCAATTTACTGCCGTTCAGTTGTGTAAAACTGTTGGGGAACTTGTGAAATCTTTGCTGTTTTTTGATATTTGCTTTTTTTGTAATAATAATAATAAGGACCAGACAATAAATCATCACTGAATATTTACATGGTGTCTGAAATGCCTTGAAGTTTTAGCAGGCTATTGTTCCAGGATGTACAACAGTAAAAAAGTAAGCCCTAAAACTTCTCCCCTCTGTTAGTTTTCTTGGTAGGCTTCCTTTCTAGCAGTTACCTATACCTGCATGTAATGGTGGTACGGGCACAGCTTCATCCAACTAAGAAATATGACATTGTTTTAGTGAGATATTTAAACATCAAAAAATGTTCCAGAACAGGACTACTAGAGATGTTTCTGCCTATACTGAAATTTTGGCCAGAGAGCAGGCTCCTCACAACCATTCATGTTGGATGCTTTCTCAAAAACAAAAGGAAGAGGGTGATAGCCTAGCAGGGTCGTTGTCTGGAGCAAAACTGACTTCGCATTTGGGCTTTTGTTTTTCTCTCTGCCTGCCCAACCTCCAAGAGACGGAATGTTTAAGCACTGTTTTTAATAGTAATTTAAACACGGATACAGTTCTGGACTTGTCCTGTGGGTGGGGTGCCTACATCATCATTAATGGTGTATGTACTCAGCTTGAACTTGTGGAGGGCCTGAGCACACACAAACCTGGCGTTGAGCTCTCCGACATCTGAAGGACATACTTGTTACTCAAAGTCATTGCTTTGGAAAGGGGAGCTAGTGCCTTCAGGCAGCTCAAGCCCCAGTGTTCCTGGTGCACCACATTCACTCAGGAATCAGTAAAAACCTCTTTTTGCCTCCATCTCACCTCCTCCCTTGGCTTCCCCAGCCCTGCCACACATTGCTGCAGGCAGGCGCAGGCAGGCACAGGCAGCCAGCCTGGCAGTGAAGCTGGAGCAGCTGTGCCTTCCTGAGCAGGGCAGCACAGCTCTGTCAGCCAGCCTGTCTCAACCGCTCCCCAGGGGTGCCCATGGGACAGCCGGGGAGCACAGCACCCTAGGTCCTCAGGACCTCAATGCAGACAGGAACCAGCTGCGTGGTTACCCCTCACACAGTCTGGTGGCCGGTGCCCTTCCTCCCTTTCTTCCTAGGATGCTTTTGCTTGCTTAACTCCTTCAGAAGAATATAGGCACAACCACAGGAAGCCTGGCCTTCAAAGTGAAAGACCTGGCCTTGCTGAAAAGACTAGATAGGTCTCAACCGCACATGCAGAGAAGCCTCCCTCCTGGGCATGTCAATGAAGGTTCTGTCCTTACAGCTCTCCCAGGGACTGTGTTTGGCTTCTTAGTTTCCTTTCATTCATCCAAATCCTAATTATTAAAAAAACCAAAAACCACAAAACGACAAAACAAACTGTAATCCCAAATTAAGTGAAAAATATTTTCCAGAACAATTGACAGTAAAGCAGGTCAGCTACCTCTAGGTGGCATTATACAAACAAAGGCGATGACAAAAGCGATCTTGAGGTTCTCCAGATTCCACTCAGGCTAGGCTGTGATGTGTTCACAAACACAACATGTACACATCTTCTGCATTTGTGTTCAGGGATGTGCCAGAAGACATGCACCAATGTGGCGGCAGTAGTGCAAGATTTTCAGGAAGGCATCTCTTCTGGTAACCGATTGACTGGGAAGTAAAAAGTAAATTTACTTTAAAAAAAAGAGATAAAATGTCTTTCCCCCAAATCCTGCCTTGGGCATATTCGTGGACCATACAAATACCACAGTGGGAAGAGCAAGCCCCAGTTGTGCTAAACAGCAACCCGTGTCTGGGTGCTGCCTTCACCTTACACAGGAGCCAGCACCAGCTGACTGAGTCCAGAGCAACATCAAATCCTCGGGCACTGGCTCTGCAGGAGGAGGCATATGCTCCCACTGCCCCCATGGCATAGCAGAGCCTGAGCACATGGCGAAGGGCACCAAGTGCTCCTGGCACACCCAAAATCCCCTGGCATGGCATTAACAAGGCCTCCAGCAGTGAAGTGCAGGTATGGGGCTAGGTAAAAAGATGGAGAGCAGCTCACTGTGGGAGTCACTTCTGGCTAGCGGCTGCCTTGTAGCAGTTGGGGCTGGTGGAGGCCATATCCAGGTCCTGGCCCCAAACCCCACTTGTCTCCTCTCGCTGTGGCAAGCAGCTGTTTGTATGCACCCAGGCGGAAGGAGTATTCTAATCCTTTGAGTGACATGGCACAACAGGTTTCTAAGAGGAAAACAGAGAAATATGGGCAGGGAAGAAGAGTCCCTAAGCAATTCAGTTTTGCAAAACACATTTCCCTTTCTGTTACGAGAAGGAAGCCTTCAATGAAAAATGCTCTATGTGCAGTCCAGACCCACTTGAAGGGAATGGCATTTGCAGAGCCCTGCTCAGAAGGCTCAGTGCTTCTGAGGCTTGCTCGCAAACTTCCCACCACTGCTTTCAGCTTTAGCCAGAACATGTGACAATGGCACCTCATCAGTCACAGTTGAGAGAAGCTGCAGCCACTGCCAAGCCCTGGGCTTAGAGTCATCCATCACTTGGCCGAAGAGTTCTGTGGGGTCCTGCCTCGCTCCCTGCTGCTGTTTAGGGAGCGAGCCAAAAACCCCTGCCTTCCAGGGAAAGATCTGGATGTGCTCAGTCTCCTCCACTCCTCCTGCATCATAGATCTTCTCCCAGACAAGGTCAATCCCCTTGGTCTTTCATCATACATGATGTTTTCTGGTGCCCAGATCAGTCTCTTTCTGGGTTTCCTCTCCATAAATTATGATAAACTTGTGCATATTGTTACTACACAAACTCAAACCCAACTCCTGCACACTAGCTGGATTTTGGGCATTTATATGTATTTCTTACCTGTCTGGCTATCTGCTTTTGTGCTGGATTCCAAGAATCTCCCACAGATGTCACCATGTCTGTTACTCACTTCCTCTTGGACATTATTACAGAAAAAAGTCTGCTTACTAAATCAACTTGGTAAGAGAAAGGGGAAGAAGAGTCTCACTCTTACTAGAAGGGGTGCATTTATCATAGCTTTGAAATGACTTGAATGTTACATTAAAAATAACCAAGCAGAAGGATAGCTGCTGGGAGCATTTGCTGTGCTTGCGTCTTTCAGATCCCATCTTTCTGTGAAACACAAGGGAAAAAAAAACCCCAACACTTGTCATGGGTGATCTCACATCCTCCTCCAGCTCCCTTTGTACTGGTTTTGGGGTAAGCCTGACCCCACAGTGCACCAATTCAGGTAATTAAATAAGCAGAAAATTATCCCTACAGTAAGGTGAACCATTTTCTGCCAGATGGGGTCTCCCATTCCCCACAGGAGCGAGAAAACGCATCTCAGAGGTGGTTTCACGCTCACGATCTTGTTATTCCCACCTCTCTCCTTCACAGCATCACTTCAGCTGGTGGCACTTCCCTCTGCTTTTCTGGAGGTCAGAGTCTCCTCCATGCTCCCATAGGAAGCCTATGGGAGTCAGCTGGGCACAGAGGGATGCCGAGGGCATGCTTACAATTGGAGAACCAAAGAGAGTCTCAGGTTCAGAGATGTGCTTGGTCCTACTTCTGGTTAAAATCCAAGTCCTTGCTGTTCAACAGCTCGGGTTTCTTGCCATGCAGAAGTCAAACAAAAGTGTCCTCCACAGCCTCCTTGCTGTCACTGGCATTTTGTAACTTGATGGGGAAGTTTCAGTAAATGCACAAGGGACAAGTCTTGCTGATGCATTTTAAGCCCTTAGAAAATACGCATTGCATTGCTAGTAGATGCAGCAAGGTACTTACAAAACTACTTATAAACCGTGTGTGCACCATCCAGCTCCAAACCTTCTGAGTCAGCAGGTCAGACTCCTGGTATCACCACGTCTGCAGCTGCCACATGCTCAGTGTCCCCCTGTCCTTCCAGTAGTGCTCCAGAGCCAGGTTACCCTCTGCTGGCCATAGACCACCTCAACAGAAGTGATGTTGGGCTGTGAGTTACCACCGCTGCCAGGGCTCAGTGTGGCACTGCTGCTGCCCCCCAAAGCCCCCTCTTTGGGCAGCTCCACACAACCCCAGCAGCAGGGCTCCTCACTGGGGCAATGCAGAGGGGGACAGGCAAGACAGAGTTCTCCAGGCTGTGCCTTGGGCTGAACCTGCTTGGGCCAGCAGGTAGGGTAGCCCCAGCCCAGCTGCAGGCAGCCATGCCTGCGGGAACCACTTAGCAACTACCTCCATCAAGGACCATGCTTCCGAGGACACAAAGGGCTCAGCTGCAGTGTTTGTCCTGTAGCTTTGCAACCCTGAATTTGACAGTATCAACCACCCGGCTGACAAAATCCATGTCTTTTCATGAAAAACCTGGAGAAGCAAAACCTGACAAGGTGAGGATCGGCTGCCAAAGAGGACCTGGGGTACAACCCACGGCAGCGCAGCATGGAAGCCAGCTGCCTCTGCCCCACTTCCTCATCCTGGGGCTGCGTTTCACTGATGTGAGTGAGGCCACTTCCTGCCAGGGTTGCGACACAGGCAGTGGGGAAGGCAGAAATACAGGCAGAAGGGAGCTAGAGAGAGGCCGAGCAGCACCACAAGGAAGGACAAGGAGAGGGGCGAGACCCACAACGCAGCCGAGGACACCGCGCCCTGCACAACCTCACCATGTCCCTGGTGGAAACAATCCGGCTGTGGCAAGAAGGGGTGTGTGCAGCGGACAGGAAGGAGTGGAGGGCAGCCCTGGGTGCCTTCACAGCTGTCCAGAACCCCCCTGCCAAAATCTGCTTTAACATCGGCTG